GGGAGGGAAAGGGGATTAATTGAGAAAAAATGAAAAAAAAGGAATAGGTTAAGGAGAAAATATGGAGAATGGTGTGGAAAAGGGAAGAAATTGAGGAGAAATTGAGAGAAATAAAGAGAAAATGAGAAAGGGGAGCATTGAGGGGGAATAGTAAGAAACAGGGGGGGTGGAGCTGGAGAATTTGAAGGGAAAAGGGGAGAACCGGGGAGAATTTGAGAGGAAAATGATGGAAAGATGGGAGAAAATGAGAGAAATAGGATGAAACTGAGGAAAAATCGGGGAGAAATAGGGAAAAACCAAGGGTAAAATGAGGAAAATTGAGAAATTGAGAGAAAGAGGAAGGAGAGAAAGAAAGTGAGGGAAAGGGACCAAAACTGAGTGAAAGCTGGGAGGGATGAAGAGTAATATGGGGAAATAGGGAGAAACATGAGGGAACCGTGGGGGAAATGGGGGATAAACAGAAATCGGGGGAGCAAACTGAGGGGAAACAAAGGAAAAACTGAAGGAAATAGGGATAAATTGAAAGGAACTGAAGAGAAATAGGGAGAAAATGAAGGGAAACGGGGGTGAGCCGAGGGCCACGCGGACCCCCCGCAGCCCCCAGCCCCACCTGGTGTCCTTGGTGGCCACGAAGACGACGGGGTTGGGGGCGTCGGCGGGGTTCAGTTTCTGCCGCTTGCTGGCGGGTGGAGGACCGGCGCGCAGCCCCGCCGGAAGGGGGCGCCCGTTGGCCGAGAATGAGACGCTCGACGCTCCCACCTGCGGGGACAGCCGTCAAGCCCCACCCACCGGAAGCGCAAGCTCCGCCAATCGGAAGCCCCCGGGATGCGTCAATCACCGCAAGTCCTCCCCACCCATAGGCCGCGCGTGCCCCTCCCCTTCTAGCCCCACCCCACTCCTTCCCATCCCCGCTCCCATTGGCCCGACCGCGCGTCCGTCAGCGCGGGGTCCGTACCCGTACCCGGGGGGGGCGGTGGCCCTCGGCCCCCCCCTCGTAGCCCCGTTTGCCCACGAGCCCCGCCAGCCCCCGGCTCTGGCTCAGCTGGTTCCGGTTGATGGGGGTCTTCGTGCCCCGCGGCGTCTTCGGCTTCAGGGGGGCCTGTGCCGCTGGGGGGGGG